TATTCTTTCATTGGGGGTGTGTCTGTGAGCCAGACTAGTTTCGGAGAACTCCACTACTCATCAGTGACCCTGAACACTAATACCAATGAAATATCAGACCAAATCAAGACTACTCTTTACTTTTTACTTTCTACTTTTACGTTTACCTTTTTAAGTTTACATAGCTTGTCTGCATTAATTTCCTGTTTCTCAATTTAAACCCATACTCCTAGTCCACACGCGGGGTAAAGGAGGATTGCTTACTCTTCGAGCACCCCTGATTAGTAATTATGTCTTCGGAAATAATTATTTTTAAATCAAAATAACTACCAGAAATAAATATAAATAAAATATCGAAATGATGTATTTATGTGTTTTACACTCACAAAAAAGAAACCGTTTTAAACGGAAAAGGGAAAAATAGCTCGGGTTAAATCAAAACTTTAGGATACCAATATTATATTTACTAAAACTGTTAAATTCCTAGATGTAACATTTAACTCCAAATTATTATGGACTAACCATATTAACAATATACACAAAAATATGCATCAAATATTATGTTTTCTAAGAGAGATTGGAGGCTACCAAAAAGGATGCAACCCAGAAACAATAGTATACATCTATAAAGCTTATATGAGACCCCTCATTGTGTATGCCTGTATGATCCTTTGCAATATGTCTAACCCTTTTTATCATAAAATTCAATCATTATAAAATCAGGCATTAAGAACAGCTTACAGATCACCCAGATACACACCTCTAGTATACCTAAACACAGTTAACCCTATTCCACAAATCAAAGAAAGAATATTAAAACTAGCATCTAATTTTTACAAGAAATCCGTTAATCGCAACATATTAACTGAGGAATTTTCAAAACTATCAGTTACCCCAGAAACTTGGAGCACCAATATATCTCTCATGAATTTACTAAAAATCTTGCAACACGCTGACGTTGACAGGGATTTAATGTATTAACCCATATATATTTTTGTTCCTTAGCTCAGGCACTATCGGGATAAGAATATTCGGCGTCCGGGTAGTGAAAGTGGGTTTTTCTCGGGGCACTCCCGTTTTCCTCCCACATCAAAATTATGGGGATTAGGATTTTCAGATCCGCACCCCAACATTGATGTTTTTTTTAAAAGTGTAAATGTTATAGCCTCCCAAACCAGCCAAGAAGACACATTAAACTGAAGCACTATTACTATGATCAGTGCCGCCTATGGCTCGTAGCCAGATTTAAAAGCTACCTAGATTTCTATATATTTTGTTATTTTATTTTTTATTGAATTTAAAGTCGTTTTATTTTTTTTTTCACAATACATATAGTCCGTGAGCAGGGTGAAGAGATAATGATTCTGAACATCCCCGATTACTTTTGACCCTTGGTCAAGTTAAGTTGGCCTAGGTTTAAAAAGTTTAAATCGAAATAACTGCCACGGGAAACGGAAAAAAATAAACCTATCATTCTATAGGTATTCGAAGAACTTGTAGAATATCGCCACAATTTAAAAACTATTCAATTATGTACAAGCTGCCCAATGTTGGCCAACAATACGAAGAATTAAATTGTAGCGAAATGCTACAAGTCCTTCAAATACCT